CCAACGTTACAGAGGCCTCCGTCACCAGGGCGATGAATTGGTAAACATCTACCAGACTACACAGCGCAACAACCCGGAATACAGAAATCTTCATACTCACCGCTGTTAAAACCTCAAATTTTACATGTTGCTGGTTGATTTAATTTTCATTAGCATAACGCAGTTTTAGTAATATAGGAACACCCCACTCCTCAAGGGCTCTACAGTTCTTGAAGAAACGTGTTCGCCTCCTTATACGAAGTTTCGGAATCGTTTTCCGACAATTAGTAGGACTCCTTGCACGACAACAAACATTCATGCCTCTAGCTGAATACGCACCCACGATCGTCGTATACAAGACCCACGCCTGCGCATGAAAACAAACTGAAAAAATTCAATGTTCGCGACTTCTTGGCTTTTGAACCGCCCATTTCTGAAAGTAAGTTATCGTACTCCAACGTATTTTACCCTCATACAGGCGTTTGGTAAGTGTAACCCATGTGGTCCTGTGTAGAAAAGCTTCAAGGTCACGGTCTAAAGATGCCACTTCGAACGTAAAATTTGGCGTGAATGCGTACTGCTCGTTGGATTCTGTATTGCTGCTCTTCTGGACCAGATCTGCCTTTCGGTGTACTACAAGCGAAGCCTCTGCGTTACGGGAGTTGGCGCTTCTACCGTCTTCACGTGGATCTGCCTATTCCGCTCAGTCTGATAGAATGGGCTGATCTCAGTGAGTGGATTAGGGAATCCATACGATGGATGAAGTCCAAAGAAACAGCAACACCGGAAGTTATAGCGTAGTTCATGCCGCAGCCACTTGAATAACGAACTGAGGCCATCGTTGTTGCCTGTTATACCCGTTTGAGATCTCTATCCGAAAACAGGTTGAACAAGCAGCAAGTAATATAGACAAGAAACGCTGGTTGCCGTTTTGCGACGTTACAAACCAGTCGGGCGTAGATAACTATTGTAGTTTCGGAGATCTGTGTTCGAGTATGTCGCTCTGGTATGTGTACCTTCTCTTCCGTATTTACAGTGCGTTGACTGATAAAATTGGACGCTCCCGGCTAGAACTGCATGTCTCACCGCCAAGCGCTAGGTTTTCCCGATACGAGTCAAATATCGCTGCGTAAAAAGAATAAAATCAACGTGTTTTAAGAAGCTGAAGTTGCTTCTTCCTAAGAACGTGGATATGGGACAGTGGGTGTCAATCTTTACGCCCAAAACGCCGGCCCTAGATGGAGTTGAGTGGTCACTTTGTTGTAAGTTTGGGCCGTGTTACTTTGAACAGGAGACTCTGTGGGCCCTAGAGTAGGTTTGAACGCGGTGGCGGAGAGAAATTCGAGCATGTGCCCTGCCAGTCACTTTTATTTACCGATGCGAATCCGGCTTATGGTAAATTCCACTGCTACAGCTGATAACTATCGTCACTAGTATGTATCAGGCGTAAACAACTCTAGAGACCCGTTTACAAAACATTTGATATAAAACGAGAAAGCGCCAACGTCAAGGCCATATTGTTTATTCACTAGTACAAACAAGACAAGAAGATAACTGGTTCTTGTTGTGATTCCGGTCTGTTCTCTAGAAAACGTTTCCTTCCTTAATATTCCCGTAACTGAGTGTGCTTTTAAAATACAGATTTCTGTTACATTTGACATGGTTTCCGCGTCTGTTTTAGCAGTTTACAATCTCAGACTTTCGGTTGGTGAGACGCTACAAGACAAGGTTGTCTGTTGACTTACAGAAGCGCTAGTAGCAAAGGAGTGTTCTTTCAGATGAAGATGAATAACATCACAGTTCTCAGTCGGTTGTGACTGAATCCAAATTTCGGGGATTCGCTGAGCGTCGAATTCGTGTTCAAGGTAGGATACGAGGTTCTCGCGGCGGTGAGTACGAAGTTGGCTGTCTTCTGGGTTGTAGCGCCGTGTAATCAATCTGGTGGAATCTTACCAACGTTTCAGAGGTCCTTGCTTCCTTCTTCAGGGCGATGAGTCCTGTCGCCCTGGTGACACAGCGCTACAACCCAGAAGACAACATTCCAATGTATTTTCACATTAATATGCATGCTATTATATATGTGTTGCATAAAGAGAGCAATTTTCTGAGCAGCACAGCGACTTTCAGCTTCTGAAGAACAGTGCTCCATGGAGTGGAGTGTATTGACAGGGCGCTGTCACTTGGAGAGACGGTTGTTCACAGTCTGCTTATGCATAATCCCGTTTGCAGTGGCGCATGAGTAAGCAGATGTGATATAGGAGCTGAAGTTACCAATAAACAAGCTGTTTCGCTGTATTGCTTGAGGGAAGCGTGACATATACCAATTCGCTCCTTCCATTTTCTTGTACTTTTCAGTTAGTTTCTCACGTTTTGATATTCAGGCGTGGAGTATATTTTAGAAAAGTGATGCAGAGTCCAGAATGTAAGCTTTTAAGATAGCTAACAGTTTGCGGATGTTTATGACGCAGTAAGATAAATATTTACTTCTTGCTTATCATACATTATTTAGTTTTTGTGAACTTGTTTGTGTGGTTATCTTGGTTAATCTTAAGGCCACTTGTTGTGTATCACACGAGTAAATACAAACAACCGTTGTTCTCTGCCGCCTTCTTTTCGGACTTAACAGTGTAAAAGATAAAATGTTTTTATTTCAGAGCATTGCGTATTTATTATTTGAACTGGAAAGTTCCATTCGTTTACTCTGGACACGCTGGTGAATACAAACATTTGTTTCAAAAGATACGAAACGCATGGCATTTTCCCAGAGAATTGCCCCGTTATTCAAATCCGCGCCACTTTCTCGAAATTTCAGATTTTTGTCTGGAACATTTTGTACTCAAGAATACTTTCTCCCCTTTTGTGATTTGAGGCTCTCACGGCAGTGAGGATGACGATGTTCTGGGTTGTGACGCCGTGTATACTCGTAGATGGGTACCAACATTTTGGAGAAACATACTGCCTCCATCTTCATGGCTGAATGGATAAATAAATGATTAGAGGAAGATCAAGCTAGGGGGAATGGGGCCGATCATGGTACGTATCACGATTAAACATTTTCTCGGCCCACAAGTCAAGAACCACACCGCCTGACCAATAAATGAGTTTGTGATAAGTGGGTTTCGCCTGGAAACTTGTTGGCATTGAATTACGCATTAGGTACAGGGTTTGGTTCTTCGTAGACTCAAGGATTCTTTTTCCTCGTCCAATCCTTTTGTCACCAGTAGCTCTTTCTCCAGGAGCAAAGAGTTCGGGGGAGCTGACAGCTGACCTCCATTTTGTGATCAAATTACGAATGCTTGGAAATATTACTACACTTTCTCACACGCCTTCATGACTTCTGCTTAAGTAAGTGCAAAGATGGCGTCTTCGTGGCGTGGTGCTTAAAGCACAGGGCCAACTTTATTCCACTAACAGACAAGATACATCATTATAATTCGAGAGATATTTTACCTTCAGGTGTGTTCTCTTCGCATTTAATGGTGTTTGTGCAGGTTGGAATTTGTAGTCATGATTGCATTTCTCAATTAGGTTTCAGATTTTTAAGTTGGAGGCCTCAACAAAACAATTTTCAAGTCAGCAAAAGTCCTGAAAAACCATAGAATAAAAATTTGTAATATCTTGCGTAGCTTTAACGTTTGTAAGGTGGTGAAAACTAGACAGTGAAAACAAAGACAAAACCAGAATTACAGACGCTGAAATGAAATTGGCTAGAACGGGAGAATACACTTTGTTGGACTAAGAAACGAAGATATGAGAAGGATTATAAATAGAATGTGTATTTGACAGAAGCGAATTTAACATGTTGACTGAATATAAAGGGACAGACTACGTAAACATTAACCATTTACGTCCATGGATTAAGGAACTGAGAATTACCTTTAAAGAGGTTTTTGGATTATTAAGACCGAAAAGGGTAAATAAGTAACCTAACTCTTCGATGATGATGAACCCGTTCTAAATAATTTCTTTCGCAGTTACAATTCCTTATTTCGAGCCCCGGATGCGTGTCGTGCATTATCGTACCACGCGGAATGTTGTAGAATCTAGAATACATCGGGTCACAGGATCCCCTCCGTCAGCTGTTGGGTGTGCCCTTCCCCCACGAGCTCCGTATTCCAGGCAGCTTGTATTGATCTTTCCACTTCTCATTCAGCTGCGGTTATTGAACGAACGTTTCATGAAAGGAATTTACAACCAATCAGATACAAATATTTTTGAGGTTGGATACTTGCCCGTCGATTGAAATGTTATCAGTTCTACATCGAATTCGAGAGATCGGGGTTTGATTCTCGATCTCTCCAGACAAGTATTGGGGCGATTCTTCGAAAAATACCGTCTCTTCTGAATCGGTCTTGGTTGTTCTTTCACGGGTATCTTGAGTATGCAATTGAAGAAGCATTGTTTAACCAAGAAATAAACAACAATTTCATGCTGGTTACACATTGGCGTTACTGTTTATTTCATAACAGAAAATCAGTTCTTTGTCTTGAGCGGTTTATCTTGTCCCGAATTACAGCTGGGCCGCGTTTCAGAGTAGGTCTCTGTAATCCCACTTCTGCCTCATCGCCGAATCTTAGCAGCACATAACGAAGATGTAAAGTTTTCCTTGTGCTTAAGCACTGGACCACGAAGACGTTTTGGGGTGTGGGGGAGTGATGTTTTATGTCTTCTTTATCTCGGTACTATACGAAGCCAAGTTGTTGGTATCACCCTTAGGTCGTTTTAATCCGTGGTGAAAACCCCCTCCCATTGTACATGATGCCAGGTGGCCTGATGTGCTGTTGAGAGAAATTCTTGTCCTCTCCCCATCTTCATCTCATAGTCAGCCATTTTATTGACTGAGCTCTCCATGCAGATGTTTAATCTGCCCCCCCCCCCAAATAATCAGAAGTCTACTGTATTTAAAAGTTTTAATTCATTGATTTATTAAGATTATCTTTCAACAGGAAGTGCTGTCTGCTTAAATATTGTCCAGCGTTTAAAATGTGTACATGTTATTTGATTAAGATATTCCTTCACAGGAGGTGCTGGGGGCAAGGGTGTGTGGGGGAAGTTGGGGTCAGAGCTAGTTGAAGCAGATGTTGACATGAATGACCCTAATTATGACAGTGACTCCATTGATAATGGTGACATCGAACTCAAGACCATCATTCCTGAAATGTCTGATGAAGACATCCAGGTATGAAAAGAGTTTTTTTGTATTTTAAATTAACTGTTTGCGCAGGAAGTTTGTTTTTGCATTAGTTCAGATTATTTTGTAAGCTTCAGCATACAGATTTTACTCTGTAAGCAGTTTAAGGTTACTTCTGAGGATAATAATTTTCTGTATATTAGATGCTTTGTAATTTGATTGTGTATTCGTTTGAGTTCTATGGTTGTGCTCTCAGATTATGTGGAGTATGTACCTGCTGCTGGTCACTGGTTTTAAGCACTGTAGTTGAACAAGAAAGTTTTGTTACGTATGGACAGTTATTTTAAAGTGTGTGCATGAAAGTGTCCCGCGCCGTAGCCGCGCGGTCTGAGGCATCATGCTTCGGACCGGTGATACGGAATGCGCGCTTGTTCGAGTCTCGGGGAAAGAAGTTTCTCATGAGATTTTCGACCAGTGTATGGGACCGGTGCCAACCCAGCATCGTGAGGAAATTGGGGAGCTACAATAGGTAGCGTAATCCGGTCAGGAAAGCTAGCAATGGCTGGGGGTTCATCGTGCTGACCACACGTCACCCTGTATCTGGTTGGATGATCGTTCACCTCTGCTTAGGCATGTGAACGTGAGTCCAGCAGTCAAGCTAGTCGGCTTTGGCTCAAAAAGTGCATGAAAGTAAGTCTGAGTTGCACGTGATCGTGTGAAAATACAAGTTTTAGAATGGAAAATATGTAATTTTTAGATCATGCCACATCATTAAAAACTGGATAGGATTTAGGAATTATTGCTTTCAGTACCATATGATGCTTGCATTTAATTAGGTTAACAACTGTTACAAAGTAATTGTGAATATTGATCGTAAATTGGATTTGTTTATCTTCACTCTGTTGTTAGTATTACTTTATATAGTTTATTACTTAGTTTAAGCAACCGCTGTAACATCAGTTTTACTGGTTGCATTTTCAGAAAGGAGCCGAGCCGATCATTTTGGAATACTTTGAACATGGAGACACTGCAGAAGCAGCACTAGCCTTTGATGAACTTAACTGTGGTACAAAACGGTATATGGTGAGTAGATTATATTGTAGTTTAAGGGTTGCAGTTGATAAACTTTTAAATTGGAATATTCACTGTGGGAGATACTGATGTTAAATTTATTAGTAGTTTCGCAGCACTCGGATAAGACGTAAACATTTACCTGCTAGTTTTATTGTATCTGAGTTTGATTTCATGAAAAAATATTAAGAAATGCTGGAAATTGTATCTTGATGAATGGGAGGATTAGAAAGTTGTGATGAAACATTAAGTAGATCCTGCTAATGGAGGCAGCAAGCACCTCTGAAATGTTGGTAAACTTCTACAGAGCAGATGAACTCAGAAAACAGCCATCTTTATACTTGCTGCCATGGGAACCTCAAGTTTCAGAAGATGATCATGGTCTTTTCCTACTTCATTTTCATAGCTTGTTCTCCCGTTGTTGTATACTCCCTGTCTTAATTTGTATTCTTATAGGAGAGTTCTGTTATTTATGCATTACACATCACACTATTGTATTCTGAAGTAGTATTTGATCAATTTGTTATATGATACTCGGTTATGTCTGCATTCGGCATGTTGACAGTCCTTGCATTTCTCAAGCATGTCCATGGCTTAACAGTAGAATGCAGATATCTCATATTCAGCTGTCGTGTCCTTGCTGAGCAAACTCATGGTACGAAACAGGGCTGGAATTTGGACTTAACTACCAGGTTTATTAGCTTAGCAGTGTGCTGCTCTGATGCATGGCTAGCTGTATCACACCTGATATTTGAAGATATTTTTCTCTGTATGGATATCTTGATACTTACTACTTTATCAGTAAAACCCATTTCAGGTTCCTTGCTGAAAGTCAGTCATTGTTACTTGTTTTTCTTCCAGATTCCAGTATTAACTGTGGAAATTGCAATGGATCACAAACCGTCCCATCGTGAAATGACGTCAGTTCTCATTTCTGATCTCTATGGACGCATTGTAACTCAAAAGGATATTGGTAGAGGTTGGTTTCAGTTTCTATACATATGATTAAAGGGCTGTATTTAAAGGGGTCTGGAGGTGCAGTGTGCCCACTCTCTGAATATCTTGGTTCTCCTCTTAATTCCCCCTCCTTCTGCCTGCCTTCCTATTTTAGGTAAGGCAAGCCAGTCTTACGGTATTATCATGGTAACGTCTAGGTAGATATCGAAACATCGTTTTTTTCAGTATTTTTTTTTACAATTGTTGATGCCCGAGTCCTTATCCTGTCATGATACCAAATTACTTCTTGACAGCCTTTGAGATGCTTCTGAAGAACCTCCCAGACTTGGTGCTGGACACGCCTGATGCAGCCATTGTGCTCGGCAACTTCATAGCTCGAGCAGTGGCTGATGACTGTCTTCCACCAAAATTTGTCCAGATCTGCAAGGAAAAAGTTGACTGTGACCATGCCAGGTGGGTGGTGGTTTAGAACAATTTGCGTTATCTCTGGAGAATTTACAGCATGATAAGTGAATGTGCGAGTAAGATGTAAACATTTTTCTTTTACATGTGAACTCAACATTATGGCACAGTGGTTACTAGTTATGTCTATTGCTAATGTTTCTCCATTTTTGCCCAGTACATGACACTAAATTGGGTTAGAAAATTGTAAGAAAACATGAAACCAAAATAATGCATTTCTGCGGTCCAGACAAGCCCTGTCTCGTGCAGACACACTGCTGTCAATGAAGCATGGACTAGTACGACTGGACAATGTGTGGGGAGTGGGTGGTGGGCTCCGACCTGTCAAGTATCTCACTCGTCAGATGACGCTGCTCCTTCAGGAGTACTTGTCTTCAGGTGATCTTCAGGAAGCAACCAGATGTCTTTTGGATTTGGAAGTGCCACACTTTCACCATGAGCTGGTGTATGAGGTACCTGTAGCTACTTTGTTTTGCATTATACCACACCTTCAACTTGAACATCTGTACTTAGTGTTATGGTTTTTGTTTCTAGGCTGTTGTTATGACAATTGAGGCCATAAATGGCCATACCGAGGAAATGATGTGTAAATTGCTCAAGTCTTTGTATGCTGCCATCATAATAACCCCAGACATGATGGAGAGGGTAAGTGCGATACTATTAAATATTTGTGATGTCTGAGATTAAAGTTGAATTTAACACAAACCATATTTATTACTTCTATTGTAATATTATTAAACTTCTTGGTATATCTTGCACATTTCTTGCTTATTTTTACTATCATCATTACAAACCATTGACAATAATGGCACAGCTATTACTAAATCTGTAACACCTATGTCTTGAGTTTGAAAAAGTGCTACATCTGACAGGTACTTGCGGAAAAATTAATTTAAGAAATTCGATGTGGGTTGTGAGATTTTCTTTTCTTTCTAAAATTCTGGCGTGGCTTATATTTGCACAGGTACAGTAGTCATTAGGCCACATTTATTTTTCTTGTCCCAACATTCATTATTCATTTCCTACATAACATGTTTACATGTTTTAGCTAGTTAAAGGGATATGGATTGCTTTAATGATTTAAAAAATCTCTGAAATAGATGAGGTTGAGGGCCAGAAGGGTGTGAAAGTGCCAAAATTAAGTACACTGAATGTGATGGAATGCAGACATTAATGATGGACGAACTAAGTGCAACAACCCAGAAGACATTCGTCTTCAACTGTTACATACAAAAAGTGTGGAGATGGGCTTGGAATGACAGTGTAGATATGCATTGCTGGCACAGTCTAATTATTGCTTCAGTTTCTCTTTGGCCCTCTATTTGTTTACCCTTAACAAGGGGGCTAAATGTCTTTGTTACAAGTAGAATTCCAATCATTGTTCTGCATTTTTCAGAATCCCACCCTGTTGTAAAGGGCAAAGGGCAATTCAGATAGAAGTCTCCTTGAGTTTCTTACTGCAATGTCTTGTATTCTTATTACTTGTTCCCTCATGCAGGGATTTATTCGAGTATATGAAGACATGCCCGACATATGTTTGGACGTTCCTCTAGCTTATACAGTGCTTGAGAGATTTGTGGAGCGCTGCCAGAAGGGAGGTTTCCTCACAGATGAGGTCATCAAGAAGATGCCATCCAGGTTTGTTGATAAAACAAAGGAGGTGGGGTGTTACATGAGTGAATACCTCTGTCAAAATTTTGTCTTGTCCAAAAGAAGCTGGAAAATTTTTCTGTTTTCATTTTTTTTACACATCATGACCCAGTCTTATGAAGCCCACAGAATCCCTGTAGCTTGGATGGTTTTGAAAACAATTTTTACAAAAGGTTGTAGTTCTGAGAATAAATTGTGTGTTAAACACTAGATTGTTTATCAGTGTCTGAGGAATCAGCTAATCACTGCTTTCTTGTGTGATGGATGTTATTATAAATAATCCCCTTCATGGAGTGGAAAATTGCAAAGCCTCTGTTGGTGGAAATATGAACAGAAGCATCCTCATGATATCTAGGTCTTGGCAGAGCTGATAATCAGTTCGAAGAGTGAAGTTGTATATTAACTATTGAATTTTGAGTTTATAGCATGATTTTTATGCTTGTTCTGACATTTCTCAATTTTAAGCAGCTACAGTATTTTGCACATATAGTACTCAATACTTGATTTGTGTGATGGTAATTTTGGTGATTTTTGTTTATTATATACATAACTAATCCTAATAATGAGTTCAGATTTTACCTTAAAAGAATGTTCTTTTAGGAATGTAGTGTAAAAATTGTGAAACAGCAAGGGGTTTAAAAGATGCCACTGAAACTTGATACATGTTACTGATTTTTCTATTTCAGTACAAGTAACTCGAGCACAGTCCTTGAGAAGCTGAGATTTGCTTAGCTGGAAAAACTATTCCCTTTCTTTTCTAGGGCCATTTCTTGGGGTTGCTATTGAATTCAGTGGAGCTCCTCACTTGATCCTGTCCTGGGCAAAATGTATCTTTTGGATTTATTTCCCCATGCATGCTGTGTCCTGTCACCTCTTCCTGCTTGATTTTAATTAGTGATTGGTAATTAAATTTAGACATACTTTATAACTTACATTAACAGGTGTACAGTGGAAGTTGTGCGATCAGGTGATTCTCACCACTTAAATCATCATTGAGTCATTACTGCCTGAAGGTTCAAACAGTTGAAACCTCTAGTATCTAAAGTGTCTTAGGCATAATGATGATTACTATTTTCTTGTTTTCTTAGGGGCCGTAAACGTTTTGTGTCTGAGGGTGATGGTGGCCGTGTGAAGAATCACGATTTTGTGTGAGGGCAGTCCTGAAAGTTCTCTTGTGTCAAACCAAATGTCAGCAGTCAGGCCTACCAGTAATGTCATCTGCCCTTTTTTGATTGCTCCAGCATCTGTCTGTTCAACCTACTGGATGATCCTATAATTGTACAGACAGTGAATGTGTTCCACGAGTATTCCTTATGGCCATTATTGTTTCGGCTACTACTGTGACAACATACAGGTGAAATAGATTATGTAAATTTTCATAACTTTGGAAAAGTAAGGATCTTTAATTTACACAGTTCAAATTAAACATGTTGTCTGTCTTCTATGGCTAGGATTTATTATAATTTTCATGAACCATTTTTTAATTTTGTTTGCATTTACTTCATGATAAGTATAAAAATGTTTTTGTGTTTACATACATATTCAAGTTCATGACTCGTTATGGGTGAATGAGAGTGTTATGAGAGGAGTTGTGTAAATTACAGTTGGTGGGGGATTAAGATGTCTGAGCAAAGTTGGTTTTAGATTCTTCTTCTTCTTCTTCTGTCTTTTGAGAGAAGTGTCACTTTAAATTTTCCTGAATCCACTGACCTGTATGTAACCTTTTCATTTACTCCCCTCCCATTCTGTTATTCAAACTTTTCACTTGGGTTGCCTCTAAATCTCTGTTCATACAGTGATTGCAAAAATGTGTTTATATGTTAGATAGTACTTAACGATGAAGTTGATAATTGTATTTGCTACACACAAGCTATTGTGAATGTCATATTCTATGTTTTTCAAAACTGACTCTAGCGTGTATCAAAGAATACAAGTTTATATATATAAAAAATTCATTTTGGAGAAGGTTAATTTTTTAATTGGAATGTGTGTTCATAAATTCTCTCTCTTCGTGCATTATCAGATTATCTACCAGAAGTTATAAAGAAATTGTCTATGTCAAATTTTGCTTTTGAAATGTTTTTTTTAAGTTATCAATACCATGAAACATGTTACAAGTCCAGGTCCATTAAAATTGCACTCTCTTATAGTTGAATATGTGCTGATATTGACAAGTGTGCTTTGGGAGCTATGGTTTGCAGAACAAAATGAAACTATTTCTGTGTCAGAAGACACTGAATGGATATATTTTATTCAGCATATATTTTCAAACTAGCAGCATTTAAAAGCCATTATCCACCACCATTATAATGAGTATCTTTTTAGGGTATGATTGAATCTTTTTTGATAGTTATAAATATAATATCCTTCAAACCTATAAATAAAGAAGCATATTTAGATGACAGTTAACCAGACCTTATTGAAAACCCAGGGATTCTTGCACTTTATGTAATTTCATGGTGGGCAGATAACAGTAGGTTGAGGAATTGAGTATAAGCAAAATTGTGCCTCTGACTTCACCAGATTTGTGTGTCTAGTAGATGGATTTAAGTGTTGTGATGAAAGATCATTTGGTTATAAGATATGTTTCGGTATTTCTTTCATACAGATATCAAGAATAATGATTTGTGTACAAGATGACTGGGAGCTAGCACTGTTTCCATGTTATTCCAGGCATTTCAGAGGTAAATAGGGTTCGCCCATAATGGTTCTTTTCAGGTCGTAACTACTAGTTTTAGACCGCTCTGATTGTTTTGATTTGAACAAGCATTGAGCATTAATTTGTCCAGATTGTGGAAGACCTGTGTTTCTGGAGTCTTCTGGCACAGTATCTAAGAAATTCTTATTTACATCACCATATCACCAAAATATTCATTTTTCAGTTGCATATCTGGATGATTCTGAATTCATTGAGTCATGTTAATTCAGTTTAGAACGGGAAGATCCATACTTGAATGTATGCATATGTAATGATTGAAGTGAAAAAAATACTAAATTTGTTTCATGTGCACTTGTTCTTATAGTCTCTAAGAAAACTTTGGTCTTCCCTTTCTTGCACCTCGTCCCATTAGTAATGTGTGTTTGCAGCAGATTTTTTGTGTTACATCTGTTTAGAGTCTAATTTTTGTAATTTGTGTTTTCCAAGTTTTAATTATATGGTGCCACTTAGAAACTTGTAACCTACGCAAGACTGTAATGATTTGACCTTCAAGATGTGAAGAGTTTTGTTAGTTTACAACTTTGATGTTGCCTGTTGCTCATACAGCAACTACATCTGGACATTTATTTTTTTTATTATTCTCTTGTTTCCCTGTTTCTTTGTTTTTACATGGTATGTCTTATTGTCTTCAGTTATCTTTAGTTTGAGTTACAAGGGTTTTCTTGTCCATGGGACCATGTTTTCTGTGTGGTATTATTTTATGGAGAGAGAATATTGAGCACCAAGTTTATTCTGTGTGCGCGCGCGCACACACAACTGTCACTATGTAGATGGACCAATACATAGAGATTTTGAATTACTCTCATTCACCAGGTGATAAAGCATTAGTAAACTACCGGCACAGCATGGTAAAATAATAAATTAGTTATTTTTCACTATAGGTAGAACTTGCAAAGTTATCACTGAATATAAAGGTAACATCAAATGTATTCTTTGCTCAGGGCTTGAGTGTAATTATTCAAGGATGAGAGAACAGGCCATGATAATGGTAGTATTGGTACCATATAGGGAGTCAGCCGGGATACATGAAATACTGTAAGCAGGTAAATATAAAAAATGTCAGTTTCCCCAGAGTAAATACAGTCTTAATATAGAAATAAGAAAAGAAAACCAATGAGTATTGGGTGATACATTCACAGACACTGACTGTATTTACAAAGGGATATTATGGTTACAAAAAGTGTCACAAAATGTACATTTTAATGGAAAATTCAATGTTCTCTCAGCCTTAGAATATTCAAGTCTGAGTTGATGAACAGTATGATTCTTTAAAATTTGCTTGTTAAATGCAAAGATACAGAATAAATGTCTGCAAGCTGAAATTGCATATAGTTTTGTTTTTAGTTTTGTTATGTGTTAAATATTTTTATGCCTAATTTTTGAATGACTTTGAAATACTTCTGATATTTGAAACATTGTAAAATGTTTCTCTTACATATTTAACATATGTTTGTTTATTGAACATTTACTTAAGTATAAATTGTAATGTTACATGATTTTTGGAACATTCATGACTCTGTCATACAAGAATAAAACATCTGCATACTTCCATGTTTTGATTATAAGTGTTATACTTTGTAGTGTTGTAGGTAGGTTTTGAATTGGTCACCACCATGATACTATAACAATATTGTTACATGCATGAATTACTAGAATTATTTAATTGAATTCAGTTATTTATTATCATAAAATTAACAAAAGAGTACAGATAATCAAAAACCAACGAAATTCAGAAAAAACTCATAAAATTAACAAAACATACAAATAATTAAAACCACCAAATAAGAAATATGTGAAGGGAAATTCAGTATTCTTTCTTTCTTTCTTTCTTACACATTGTATGTCAGTAACATACACCTCATGTTAGTTGGGTGCCACATGTAGCTCTAGTGGGCCCTTGGTGTCATTTGTAGTCATCTGTCAGGCCAGAGGTTGGGTGACCATTTATATGTGGTCATAGCCACAGGAGATCACTTTCATTGTGTTGTGCAGTTCTTGCCTCGGCAGTCATTTAAGGTAAGAAGGTGCGAAAGATTTGATGAATGTAATTTAGGTTCTTACTTGAGCAATGAGATTCTCGTCAGTGGGATATGGGTTATGCCGTATGGTGGTTTGGAGACAAGTTTGATCAGGATTATTAAGGCCATAGATATACAGTCAAGAAGCTAAGGTAAGTATAGAAGTCTCAGCATAGTTTTAAAATTATGTATTATTTGGCTTCATCACTGTGAAGTGGATTTATTTTACTGATTGGCCATTGTAATAACTCTCCAGCACAAATACTATTAGATACCACACCAATGTAAATGATTCCATTACTCTACTGTAACTTGCTATGTTAAATTCTTAATGTTGGATGAATGTAAACTGATTACAAGTTTTAGATAAATGTGGATAATGTGAGAGTAATGCAGCATTTTCAACAGTTAAAGTCTAGGAATGGTTACTGACTCTTGCCAGAAGCTTCTTACTACATGTGCAGGTGTTGATGAATTTCAACCAAAACAATAGAATCCCAAATTCATGGGTGGTCAAAGCCTGAGTTCTACCTCAGGACCCAATAATTACAATAGGGCTGTCCTAATTATATTTTTTTTGAGGCAGTGATTTTGTGTAAATTTCATAACCCTGATTGGTGTGACTTCACACTTTATCTGTTCTTATGTTTGATTGCACTTTTTTAAATTAACTGATTATTGCATTTAGGTTTCTATGATCTGTTATTCTCTGATGTGTGTGTCATGGGGAAATTGTGGATATTACTCCCTGTTGAAATAGCCAATGTTTTTACTGTATAATATGACTGCACAAAATTAGTAGTGAGTAAACATTAATTTTATTTAAAAAATAGTTGTAAGAGCTCAGTACATGACAAAAAACAGTTTTATGGGGCTTGTGAACTGAATTCATAGTACATTGGCTAATAACTTTTACTGTAATGTGTGTAGTTTATATACGCACATTAAACATTACAAATAATCCTGCATGTTTGAGTTTTACTTCTCTAAATTGAATGAAATGTGATGCATTGTTATGCCAGATTTAAAAACTTCAACTTCAATCTTCCTCCAGGGAAGAGGTATGATGTATCTTAGAATATTAACACGTATTGTCTGGACTGTAACTGATTTGTCCTCGATAGAGTTACTGCTGCACCAGTAATTAATGGAAGAAAGGTATATGTAACTAATCCCGATACAGAAAATGACAGAAGTATTTTGAAATTAATGAGTTCACTAAGATGTTTGTTAGAAGACAGGACACAAGTATTGTGTTCTTGTTTATAGAGTTTCTGATCTACATTCTTCTTTTCTGTGAATGAATATACTAATTTTTTGGAAATACTTGTTTCAAATATGAGTTTTTTTTATATTTTGTAACTCAGAAACAAAAATCCTTTAGCATAAAAAGTTTGCAAAATATGGAGTATAGAAACTATAAAACTGAGTAAAGCATATAGTTTGTCTTTTCTCATAGTTGCAAGTTTGTTTTCTGAACACAAGCACACTTTTGGCAATTCACAGGTGTAATGTAGCAGATTTGTTTATTCCAGGACAGAGACTCTTCAAAGACAGTGGTGTTTGTATCTCAAGATTATAAAAGTTCATATACTTTGAAGTGAATGGTTATGTACTCTGCAAATCAGGATATAATTTATACAAGGAAGAACTCACATGGATGCAAGAATGCATTAAAATCTGACAGGAGGCTCAAGATTCTGTCACATTCTTGTCTTCTCATTCTGCATGTTGTAAGAACTTATATTTTGCTTACTGTGAAGTTCTTTTAGCAATGGTACAAACTGAGCATTTTGATATATTTCCTTCTAACTGAACTTTTCAAGAATATCTTCATACAAAATAAACAATTATATTTATAGCCTAGAGTCTTCTAAGTTATTTGTAGGGTTTATCATGTTCATATCTATACATAATACAAGAACATGATTCGAATGAAAACCATACAGGCTTAATTATACAATAATATAAAGCATTACTATATATGTCAGTCTTCATATAGCTTCTCCTTATTCTCTACACTTCTTCAAATGCCAAATGAACAGTGTTCAAATCAAATTTCTTTTCTGTGGTCTATGAACCATCTGAAAACTGATAGAATATAAGCAGGCATTTTAGAACATTTGTTGTTCTTTTCATAACACAGTACATTTTATGTGAAGAGTAGTTCTGAACTTAGTCCAAATTCCATTACTTGGTTAGGGACCGCCATTATTAATGCACATAATTTGAGGAATGGAATAAAAATTGTATACATAGCACCACAGTGTACAAAATGCAAAAATTAAGGCATCTTGCAGGTTAAATGATAAGATTTGTCTGCAATGGCAGAATTGGTAATTCAACATGTTTCTAAATTAGGACAATGACACCAGTAATGTCTCCCTATTTTTTCTTGAATTTAAGATTTTCTCTTATTTGGTATTCAACCCCATTATCTTAAAGTTCAGTTCCCTCCATTTGTTTTCTCAATTTTGTGTCCAAATCTGTCTTCCATAAAAGCTAGTGCATAAGTCACTTTACCAAGATATTACAAAACATTGATATTTTTCAGTTTTTGACACTTTCCTCTATAAATTTCATACAATTGCATATTGATTATACTATTTTCCCCCCCATACTACCTAATGAATAGAATACTAGATGATAATGCTGTATTTTGCTCTGGCATAATATAACAAATAAGAATTCTGGTGCAAGTGATTACAGCTTATATGAAGTTTCCAAATATATAACCACCAAAAAGCAAGCAATTCACAAACACAGCAGTTTGAAGAAACTAATTAAGTGGTACACCAGGGTGTAATAAGTGGGAAAGCCATGGAAATTGTTGTACAAGCTTTTCACCGAAGTAAGAGATGAAGTCATTGGTATTAGCTTCTGATATGACGAGTTGTAATCACTTCAGAATTTGTCATAAATGGGGGCGGGGGGGAGCTACAGTCAAGGAGTAAATTAAATGTGTGCACTGGAGTGACGACTTGCATCACCATATATGACATTAACTTAATATTCTTGGATCCATAAAATGGACCAGGATTTAGCATGATGGGATAGTTTGCCATTTTAATTGACCATTGCAGTTTCTGAAAACCACAGTGATATGCGAGTTTGAACAAAGCCATGATTTATATTTATGTAAGGTGATCTGCATCAAGGTAACTACACTGTTGTGGGAACACTTGTGTTACTTCTCCATGCAAAATTTTCTTGGAGATTGGGCATCATGGTAAATAGAGTGACCTCCATGGTCCCTTCACTCACCTTGCTATTGTTCATACTGCAAGAAATGGTGTAATATCCATCAAATGAAGAATGTGATATGTCAAGAACTTGAAACATTAAACACTGACAAAGTTCAGTGGTAAGTTACCAGAAGAAAGAAGAAAAAAAAGTCAATAATTTTTGTAACCATCGGTGTTTATATAATATTTTGTTTTCTCATTTTTTTCATATTAAGAAAGTAAACTGACCTTGATAATGTAACTAATGCACAACTCTGTATTTATTTCCAGCAGCAGAGCTCAGACATCACATAATATGGAGAAGGAAAATTCAATATCTTACTTAAAACTCTAAAACACAAAATACTTCAACACGGACAATATAATTTAACACAGTTTCTTGAATACATTTCCAAAACTTTAGAGGGAAAACACTGTAGAATACATTTAATCATATCCTGACCAATCCATCTTCATATAACTTCATCTGTGGCAGGAAAAATCAAACACTCTTCATTACTTCTGGTGAATGAGCTGGGAAATGCGCTTAAACACTCATGAAGCACTGACAATCCAGTGTTATACATCAATATAAAGTAAGCAAACCAACAACTATTAACACTATAAAAAGACACTATTGCCATACACATTTTGACCTCAAGAGGTCATCATCAATGGCATCAGGGAAATTAATACATTTAGCCAAATGGTTCAAACTGGGTTCAGAATTAAAAATGAAAAGGGTATTTGACAAAATATTCGAAGTGACACAGGAGTTGCTATAGTTGCGTCGTCTGTACCTGTGAACTGCAGAACCTCTCACCCACGGTTCTGGAGTTCACAGGTACAGACGATGCAACTATAGCTCGCCGAGACCAGCTATGGCCACCGAACAACCGGATCAATAGCTAAGTGCAAGTTCTACTCCTGTGAATAACAGCATCTAGTGCAGTGTCACTTCGAATATTTTGTCAAATAATACCCTTTTCATTTTTAATTCTGAACTCAGTTTGAACCATTCAGCTAAATGTATTAATTTCCCTGATGCCACTTGAGGTCGAAACGCGCATGGCAAATGGTGTCATTTTATAGTGTTAATAGTTGTTGGTTTGCTTACTTTATATTCTAATACACTACACGGTATGCAAAATTTTAAGGTTATACATCAACTTTATGTATAGAAACATCTAACATTTTAATGCAGTTATTAATGCAACTGCTGTGTATTTAGGCTAGACCTCGTCGTCTCATCTCTTTCAGAAGTTCTGTACCCATTTGGGCTGGACTTTTGGTGACAATTACTCCAGCCTAAAAAAAGTAATAAAACAAAGTTAATTCTATCCCTCACTCCACAGAGCAAGATTTTCCCCGAGCACCGACAGTTCCTCTTTATATAGAACGTGAAAGTTCATCATGACCACAAAAACTTATCACTCGTATCTATCCTGTGTTATTCTACACATTCACAAACTAAACATGAGATCCAGATTAATTTAATATAAGTCTCCCAAATGGTCTCTTGTGGACTTCCATGTAGGATACGCACATTTTCTGATGCAACATATCTTTTGCCCATTCATCGTTTATTGCCTTGGGTAAATAAATTATTACATCCTTATCGTGTAGTTTACTGTGTTACGTTGTTACTGTCCATCCCCCAAATGGTACACACATGAATATGGAATGATACTGACAGGTAAACCAAAGAACTCTTGAGAACAGTGCCACTTTATCCACCACAAAAGAATGACCTGGATGTGAACCTGGCCCAGTGCTATCAGATGGTGGCAACAATCTGCCTCACCTATGGCACAGTCTCTCACACTCACAGTCGAAATGACCTAATACTGAAGCAAATCAGTAACAAACCTTTTCCAATGCATTAATCTTGTCTTGTGCACCACCCTTTCCACCTGAAATAATAGCTCCAGCATGACCCATTCTTCGGCCTGGAGGTGCAGTCAGTCCAGCAATGAATGATACAACTGGTTTGGCCTTGTCTCCCTGGAAAGTAAGATACAAAACATTAAAATATATTATGCTATATCCTTCCTACACAAATGTATTCATGTTTTATTTATTTTTCTGTGACACAGAGTGGACCTGAACATGTAACTGAGAAAACCAAGTAAAAACCTGACATATTTAAATGGAGACATCACTATAGGTCATTGTATCTTGTCTCAATATAAGGAATATGAAGATGTAGTATTTGCGATCATCAATTAGTAGTAGTGCTCATGGCATCAACTTAAGCTACTTACTAGTCACTTAAAATACATTAATGACATATTCTCAACTGCATAGGCCATACAGAATCAAACTGGAGAACCATGAATGATAAAGTGGAAGAAAATCAACATCTTAGTATTTAGTACTATCCCAGCATGTGCCTGAAGGAAATGGGGAGAAAACAAAACAATCTCCAGGACAAGACCTGGGACCTTCCAAATACAAAACAAATTCTAAAATTCTGGAGCCCTCGCTATACAAACATAATGTAAGGATAACTGATAGTAAAATACTTTATGAAACTGAATGACATTTGTAATTCTGAGGACCTAAAAGAGTTACATCTAGAGTTGACTGTTGGTAGCATGAATGACTGATTTTAGAGTTTGTTTCAAACATGTAGAAGAATCTAATTTTAACAAAATCACCACCTTCATATAGTTTTACTGACCGAGTTGTGTTGCAGCAAGAATTCAGAAGCTTTCTCTTCAGCCATTCCTCCAATCTCTCCAATCAAAATAATACCTCTGGTTTCTGGATCATTGAGGAATACTTCCAAGCAGTCAATGAAATCAGTTCCATTAAAAGGATCACCACCAATTCCAAAACAGATTGTCTGGCCCAATCCCACCTGAAAGCATACATGCCACTTAAAGAAAAATTTAAAAAAAATATTTGGTCATATTGTAAAGTTCATTTATGCTAAGTTTCATTTCAACGCATACAGTTTTTAGTATCACTGCATATTTGACATTTCATTGAAGAATCTGCGCACTACAAATTCATTCTTACAGCATGTTTAAATGTGGAATTCATACAGTCCATCTTTTTGAATTTCTTTATGGAAGTTCTTGCTGCATTTTATTAATTCACTAACGGCTTGTTTGTGTTGAAAGGTATTTAGTGTAGTGTTACGTGTAATGTAGTGTGATGTAACTGAATGTGTTATTAAGTGCCTGAAACTGATGGCTGTGTTCACCCATCTTGTTTTCCAGTAAATCTGGGCCATTTCATGTCTTGGGGAATATACTGCTGATATGTAAAAATTTAAAATGTACAGGATTGACATGGACAAGGAAATCTGGAATGGCTCTAGACTGCTGTATGTTTCCTCTTCTAGAATTGAGTTCCATGTAACACTGCGCCAAGAGGAATAAAAACTTTGTTTTCGATTGATTTCTCTACACAAAATATGACAACCTGCTCACTGTGCATACAGATGGAACTTCCTACAGTCAATATATTCCTATGGAGTAAATGAAAAATTCAGCAGAAAAATAACAGTGAAACATACTTAAAATTTTAAAACTTATGCAGGTTTGAATGTAACAACCTGTCACTATAAGGTTGCCAAAAATGTTAGCCATTCATGAGATGACAAAAGTTAAGCAATGTCAGAGGAAAATATTATCTCTGAATCAAGAGGGGTAGTAAGATTTGACATGCAACTGCTGGGTGTCCTGAAAACAGTTCTATCTACAATGCTGATTTAAGAGGCAGTGCTTTCACTGCTCTTAATGAAATGTTTTTGGGCACATTGAAAATCCTGTAGCATGCTTATTGAAATCTCTCTTCCATCTGTTCATATACATGAATTAAAAGTACTTTATCTGCATCTGTCTGTCCTCATGAATGAAAGAACTTGATAGTGGATACACATTTTGATAACTTATACCGGAGAATTTTACAAAAAATTATCAATTCAAATTATTTTACAACAGACTATATTTTATTGATTTAACATGATCCCAATAGTAAGTCTTAATTATAGTTAGACTGTACTGAAATCAGATTTGCTTTATTTGTTAATTTATGCAACTTTCAGGTGTATATAAAATTTGCTTTCAATGTATGTAATAACAGTGAACAGTAAAGCCTTAGTATTGATTGCTAAATTTCATTCAGTAGGCCTATACAGTTTTGACCTCTTCATCACTTTGCGATGTATCATGAAGCAGCAAACAGCTGCAAGTTAGTTTTAACATTTGTTTATTTTAAGGGAAGTGTTCGTTGTAGCCATAACTATACAGTGTAGTTTTATTTATATGGGTAATTTATAATTATTTCTGTCAAATACCCAGACAAGCAGTAACTGAAAAGAAATTTATTTTGAGAAGTATCTTATGAAGCAATAATGTCATATAGTTTTTGCTGTAAGAACAACTTTCACTGATTTTTACTCCAGGAAAGAGAATGTTATTTACGCTAATGAAATTGTAGACAGTACAGAAACGATATTGACATTCTCACTGGACTATCCTTTATTACATCTTTCAAAAGAAAAATGAGCAGTTCTATAATATGATACATTTCATATTGTGACTTCGAAAAACTGATTATTGCCACATTAACTGCCACTTATTCAAATTATTAGGTCTGCAATTTGGTTAGACAGTATGCTAACAAGTACTTGTCACCTTCTTTCTCAGCTGGATAGTTATGTGTTATTCCCTGAACAAGTAACAAACAAGCTTCATACACAGAAGACTGAAAAGTGATGCAAATGACTCCCACCTGTGTAGTTTGGTGCACAGCCTCGTATGTCAGGGTTCCTGATCGAGAAACAACACCTATAACCCCACGCTGATGAATGTGGCCAGGCATAATTCCAATCTTACACTGGAAACAGAACATGTCAAAAATATCTGGAAGAATGTGTTATAGAAATTATATCAAAATACTGTAATGCCACTGGACCAAAATGTGTTCGTGGCAGATGCTGAATAGGAATAATTTCATTGGACAAGACAGGAAAGCATAAAAAGACATGTTAAGTTTTCTAAACACTTGGTTCATTGTTATTAGGCAGAGAAGATGCCAGAATGTTTGTCACATGTGTGACATACTATAGTACATATCAGGAATTGCAAGAGGTTTGCTTGAGGACCAAGCACAATGTCTGACTGGTGAACAAAGGTAATATACAGCCTAGATGCAATGATAAAATCAAATCACACTTCCCAAACACTCACATTGACAACTATAAAATTAAGTTTCTTATATTTTTCTTATATAATTTGCCATATGTACACCTTCAGTTTCTGTCAGTTACAGAATAATGAATTCCTGCAAGTTCCCAGTCACTCGTGCTTTGAATACTGCACTATGGCATTCTATTAGTTATGCATTCCAGTGTGCTGACTGACATGAACTCATCCAATTGCCTCTGTGGTTATGCAATACGGAATGTGGTTCCAACTGGAAAGAATGTCAACCTTGAACAACAATTATCCGTAATTGCCAATTAAAAACTTTCTTAACATTGACATTCTGTTAAAGTTGAAATCAAGTCTGGTACATGGCCAAACACAAGCTCAAGTTCAAAAGCTGTAAGCTAGTATGACTGCCAACTATACTCATTTCTAGATAGGGACAATATCCATTTCCTTGATGGAAACTCACAACAAGCTGTATTCACTTGTAGCAGGATCATATAATAAATACCAACAAAACTGAAATGATAACACAACTACACAGCGCAGGACCTTTCTCAAAAAGCTGACGGTTACTCAGCTGGTAAAATTTCCTAGCTTTATGGTGTCACTGTTCATTACCATGTTCACAAAAGCACACCTTTGGACCATTACATCCTACCTTACCACACCCTATTTCTCAAAGGCCCATTTTAACACCATCCTCCCACAATGTTTTCTGACAAAAATTTATATGCAATCTTATCTCTCCTATGAATGCTAATCTCCCCCTCATCCATCTCACCCTTCTTTGTTTTATCATCATTATTCTATTCAGTTATGGGTATAAATTCCACCTTCATTAAAAGTTGACTAAGGCAGGAATGGATAAGCAATATAAATTTCATAATTAACCCCATGCAGACTTTAATACCTCATTAGTTTTCCCACAGCTTCAAAATACTGTGTGAATTTATAAGCACATAACTATTCTCATTTACCAAGATAGTTCCAGGTTGGCCCTTTTTAAATTAACTTATGCCTCTAATCTGTAATTTATACTACCTACCTATACAGATTTCAGCATCCAAATAAAAATATGCACCATAACTTCTTGTCAGAATGTCTTCTTAGTGTAAATAAAATTGTAGCATCATTACTATGCTAATTAGCTAATAATTTACCACCACCTTCACTGGGAAAATTGACAGCTGTCCTGCTGCATTTTAACATTTGTCTGTAGTGATATACTTTGAATAGAAATATAAATGTATTTTGTATTAACATCCACAGATGTCACATTTTAAATCTCTTGATTTGAAGCATAACAATTAAGCCCTCTTACCTCTGTGAATTTGCAAAGGTGATATTCTCCTGCTACTTACAAGCTGGTAAGCTGATAAGATGTGAATTTCTGTGCAGCAAATGAACTAATATGCAAATGAGAATGTCTTTTAACTGCAAACTATGATATGGACTGTCAAACACCAAGTCAGTATTAACTAAATAACTCTGCATTCATGTAATATCTTCATTTGATTTAATTAAATTTATCATTAAATTATGATTGCTATAATTAAAAATATGAAAACATGCTTAGATTCCATATGATCATCTATTGCAACATATTCATCAGTATTTTGATAATTAATGTTCTCGCTGCAAGTCTGTAACTTCAGGTGTCACACTAAGTATCCATATTTTGGTATACATGCCTATGCATCTGTAGAAAGTGACTTATTTCTCAGATATCACTAAAAGGTACATGTAACACTGAATATGATACAGCAAAGAGTGTTTTTGTAAAATGCATATTAATTGCTGAAGTCTACTAACAGAAGTTCATTACCTGTTCAGGGGCAATGACACCTGGGCAGTTGGGTCCAACAAGACGAGATTTAGACTGTTTCAGCAGAAGTTGCTTCACCTTTACCATATCATGTTGTGGAACTCCTTCTGTGATACAGACTATTAATGGCATTTCAGCCTCAATAGCTTCAATAATAGCTTTTGCTGCACCTGGCGGTGGTACATAGATAACAGTGGCATCTGCTCCTGTAGCAGCTTTTGCCTACACACAATCAAATGAAAAAGTTGTCAGTGGAACCACGGTTCCGATGAATTTGACGTAAATACGTCTATACGGAAAGGAAGTTTATATATTGGCTTTATTCTAAATATTTCCTTTATACATGCTTTACAATTGAGTAAAGTTTGATTAAGACATTGCTTATTTAACTTGAATTAGTTACGCTTAAGATGGGTCTGTGGTAGCTGAATGTTTTAACCCCCCATTCGGGGGGGTTAGTTTAGTGTGTTACTTAAGATTTTAAAACACAACAAACCCCCCAGGGGGGTTGGTCAAGTGTTTTAACCCTCCATTCGGGGGGGGGGGGGTTAGTTTAGTTTCTTACACAAGGTTGGTTGCGTTTTACAAACTGTGCTTCGCAATTATATAACGTTTTTATTCTAAAAATTGACAGTGGAACCACGGTTCCGGAGAATCTGACGTAAATACGTCTCTGTATTTAAATTATATTTACGCAATAACTACAATGAAAGGAAGGTAGCCGAATGTAATGTCAAAATTATATAGACTATGACGCACATCTTCTACAAGTGATTCACAGCTCAGCTCTTTCCTCAATAAAGAAAGCTAATTGTTGACGCCAGTGGGAAGACCTAAAGGTAGATGGCTGGATGCAGTGACGACTGACTCCAGAAATCTCCTTGGAACAGCAGCTTGGAGAAGGATAGCGTTGGATAGAGAGAATTGGAGGAAGTAGATAGAGGAGGCTAGGGCTCGATTTTGGGCTGTTACGCCATAGTAGTAGTAGTAGTAATGTAACACAACAATGCCGAGTAAACAGATGACGTTTCCTAGGTAATATAACAATGCACGCAGGCTGACCATTATTGTCGGTCCATTATTTGCATTGTTGATATGGATCTTACACGTTTTCCTAGGTAACAACAATGCCGAGTAAACACGACGTTCCATAGGTAATCATTGTTGTCGATTTTTTGATACGGATCTTACACATTTTCGTTCCACGATTTCCTTACACGTTTTCCTTTCACTTTTTTGCCGAATGACCCTTCCGTATAGACGTATTTACACCAAAAATGAGCCACACTGTAAGACAATAAATTCTTAAAATGATGCAAAATTAGTTGTAATATTTACCTCTTTCACTGTATTAAATACTGGTAAATTGAGATGAGTTTTTCCGCCTTTTCCTGGTGACACACCTCCGACAACTTTTGTTCCATATTCAATAGCTTGCTTACTATGAAAAGTTCCCTGTTTACCTGTGAATCCTTGACTTATAACTTTGGTAGCTGAGCTAACTTTCAGATTAGCACGAGTAGCTGTGTAATTTGTTCGAATATTATTAAATTTTGGCCCTGAAAAATATAATTAAACGCATCCATTTATAACCTCTACTGAATGTGCTACACTGACAAGTACACAAAAACAAAAGTCAAATTCGGAAATTAGGAATGCTGTATCGTCATGGTGTATACATTTACCTCCCAGCCTATAAAACATCCTAACTGTTGCCGCCATTCCGTTGATGGATCAAAGCACAAATCACTTGGGTGTGTTCAACTGCACCTTTTTACCAGCACAAAATTATCTAGTCTACGACGCACTTCTTCTACAAGCGATTCACAGCTCAGCTCTTTCCGCAATAACGAAACCGGATTGTTGATGGCAGTAATGTAATAACACAACAATGCCAAGTAAACAGATGATGTAACAATTAGTTTCTTAGGTATGTTTTATTATATTATGTATGTATGTATGTCAAAAAATGACATCATCAACAATGTCACATTATATTTGTTTATACTCGGTATTGTTGCGGAACCCAACAATGTCGAGTACAACACAACAAAGCCGAGTAAATAAATAACGCTTCACAACAACGAGATCAACAAAACCCCCCCCCCCCCCCCCCGGGGGGGGGGTTGCTTTATAATCACTTGACCAACCTCCCCCTCCCCAAAGGGAGGGTTGGTCAAGTGTTTTAACCCTCCATTGGGTGGGGGGGGGGTTAGTTTAGTTTCTTACACAAGGTTGGTTGCATTTTACAAACTTGACCGACCCCCCCGAGGAGCTCTCTGCTCTAGTTCATATAAAAGCTGACGTCTCTGTAATGTAATGTAACGTTTCCTAGGTAACAATGCCGAGTAAACAGATGGCGTTTCCTAGGTAACAACAATGCCAAGTAAACACTACATTCCCTAGGTAACCATTGTTGTCGATTTGTTGATAGGGATCTTACACATATTCCTTACAGGTTTTCCTTTCACTTTTTTGCCGAATGACCCTTCCGTATAGACATATTTACGTCAAAAAAGTGTAAACTGATAAATTAAAACCAAAAAATTAATTATGCTCTCACATTCTATTAATATTTTTATGTAGTGTTAACACTTGCTGCTTCCCAATTTAATAAACGTTTTTATTCTAAAAAATGAGCCACACTGTAAGATAATACATTCTTAAAATGATGCAAAATTACTTGTAATATTTACCTCTTTCACTGTATTAAATACTGGTAAATTGAGATGAGTTTTTCCGCCTTTTCCTGGTGACACACCTCCAACAACTTTTGTTCCATATTCAATAGCTTGCTTACTATGAAAAGTTCCTTGTTTACCTGTGAATCCTTGACATATAACTTTGGTAGCTGAGCTAAGTTTAAGATTAGCACGAGTAGCTGTGTAATTTGTTCGAATATTATTAAATTTTGGTCCTGAAAAATATAATTAAACGCATCCATTTATAAAAATATAACATAAAATGTAACAGATGTGAATTTCACATATTAAAAAAATCTAAATGGTGATACTTGAAGTTTGTCCCTTACATCAAAGGTCATTTCCATGTTGACTAGCTATTTAAATAAAAAATGTAAATATGCACACAGACAGTCCTATACTCATATATTAAATCAGATACTACCTATAACCAGCTTCCTAGGAAGCATGGGATATACCTACACCTATCCTTCTGTCTATAATTGCACGCAAAGGTCACTACTTATATATAACACAATAAAACAGCATATAACGAAACAAATCGTATTTTTATATTGTATAAGGACTGGACAAATCTGAAAATAGGTTACATCTGCAAACGCACATGAATATTAATAACCTCTATTGAATGTGCTACACTGACAAGTACACAAAAACAAAAGTCAAATTCGGAAATTAGGAATGCTGTATCGTCGTCGTGTATACATTTACCTCCCAGTCTATAAAATATCCTAACTGTCGCCGCCATTGCGTTGATGGGTCAAAGCACAAATCACTCGGGTGTGTTCGACTGCTCCGTGTTCGGTTGATTTCGCTTATGCTCGGGCAGAAGTCATAGCCTCCGTTATTTCAGAGGCCAACTACAGCTACGAGTGCCATAAGTATATACTCGTTTCCGGACCCTGTTTATATTTATATTCTTTGTACAATTGAATATTCTCTGATGACCAATCATATTATCAGAATAACGCGAGGAGATATCATTGGTTCTAGGATTATTTTTGAGGCGCATGAATAACAATTCGAAAGTAACGGCTTCATTGCATGTTTATGTGAGTTTATTCTATTGTTTCTAGTGACGTATTGTGTAGTGAAGGATTTGTAGATTCGTTTCTAGTGTAAGATATTGTATAAAATCTTTGAGAAATGTTAAGCAAACAGCAGAAGGACAGAAACCAAAATATACAGGTTTTTGTAAGAGTAAGGTAAGATGCCTACTTTTGAAGTTATGTGTATGTTCTCCGGAATTTGTTAATGAAATTTCCCGGAATAAAGATGGGTGTAATGTACCATATGTTTTAGGGAATATACTATGAACAAGATTCGTCAATTTTTTTTTATGTTCTTCAGTCATCGCTGAATAGAATATAATTTATTTACATTCCATACATCCTTCATAGGCACAAGCCAAGGATGTAGAGCATGTCATAGCATAAATACAATACTTGTTTATAATACAAATATAAATTACATAGTTATGACAGTAAATTATAGTCAACTGCGAAAATAATTACACAAGAAAGCATAAGCATACATCTATTCATAATGGCTGAGAATTTCTGGGCGAGGTAAATTATTATATGATGTGGGAGAGATAGGAGATACTATTTTAGTACTGGCTTAAACTACTGTATATCTTTATTTAGACTTTTCATAGTGAAGGGAAGATTATCGAGTAGCTTAATTCCTCTATAGTAAACTCCTTTTTCATATCTACTGAGTTCAGTGTTTGGCACATGACATGAAGTTTATATCTGTATTTTGTACCTAAATTGTGGATGTCTGAGTTTGTTTGAAATTTGTCTATGTTGTCTACAACAAATGATAATAATGAGAGGAGGAATGCGCTGGCTAGTGAAAGAATATTAAGTTTCTTAAATAATTCCTTACATGAGGCTCTCTCTTTAGCACCTGCTACTAATCTCATGATTTAATTTTGGATGTAAAATACTTTTTCCTGTCTGTTCAGTTCCCCCAGAAAGTAATTCTATAAGATGTGATTGAAGGAAGTAAGAAAAGTAGAGTATTTTTAAAGTTTTTGTTTTCATGAGTGATGTGACAGTTTAGACATTATGTAGTGAATATGTGTTTTCCAATTAAGTTACTGTCAAGTTATAGGCCAAGAAATATAGTTGTTTTTACTTCTTTAATTGTTTTATCCTCATACTGTACACCTAGTTTAACACAGTTTTTATTATTAGTACAAAATTTCATGAAATTTGTTTTGTCAAAATTTAATGTGAGTTTATTGGCTTTAATTCAAGCTAGCAAAGCCATAATTCATACAGATTAAAATTATATTCTAATGCGAAGAGATTTTGCAAATTTCCAGGACATTGGCAATTTGGAATGGCTTAATAAATATTTACTTAACCTCTGGATATCTCATATTCAAATGTGGTACATGATATAATGTTACTTCTACCATGAACTTATTCTGTCAATGAAATTACAGCAGATTGGTTGGTATAATATTCTTAATGAAGTTCCATATTGAAAGAACAGTCGTTCTTAAAATTGTTTTCTTTTTAGTATCCCAAATTGTGTGCATATAATAGTTATTAATATCCATTAATTTAATTTGACACATTTTTCACCAAAACAAATGTTTGAAGAGAAAAACTTAAATTGATTGCAAATTATTTTGTCTTGATAGCATTTATAACATTTAGTTGAAATACTTTTATATGTGCCATTTTTATCTTATTGAAATGAATGGGAAATAAAACTGTTCTGTATAGCAAGATTATTGTTTTTGTGGAAATTATCATTTAGGCAGCATAGCAGGTGGCAAGAGCTTTTTCAGGAAACATAAGTACTATGTATGTGGAAGATCAGTGTAAACATTTTTCTGCTCGTGTTTTGTGTTCTGTATTCAGGCAATGGAAAATTAACTTTGTATAGCTGCAAATGAAATTTGTTTAAATAAAGTGAGCCAAATTTGCTAATGCATGTATTATAAGGAATTATGAATTTGCATGCTTTATTCTGTTTACAGCTTGAGAGATGTATATGATTTATACTCTTTTATTTATTTTCAGACACCTGAATTCACAGGAAAAAACCATGAAATCTCTTAACATTGTAGAATGTCCAAACAGTCGGGAAGTCATTGTGAAGGAGAGACCTTCAGATAAAATCACAAGGACCTTTGCATTTGATAGAGTCTTTGGACCTAATTCGAGACAGGTTAGCAGTGATTTTAGATAGCCCTCATTAATGTTCATTGAGATTATAAGTTTACTATGAACTCAAAAGAAAACAATATTCCAACTGTGTGAAATATTTATGTCTCAGTTCAGATAATAATTGGTTAACTGTTAAAGTTATTATGTGTCCTTTGCATGATGGGCATGAAATGAGCACATATAGGTCTGGTCATGGCTCTCTGTCCACATGATTCAACTTGAGATTCACTGGACGAATTTGGTATGGGCATTATGCCATGGTTCATTTCCAGGCAAGTCCATATGGGATTTATGGATTTGTGGTGCAAAAAGTGGCACTGGGACAGCTTTTTCTTTGAGTTGTTTGGTTTTCACCTGTCAGTGTCATTACACGACTGCTCTGTATTTACTCGTATCATCTGGGGGATGGACAGTGGGCCTGTTACCAGCCCAGTTACACAGGGATGTAGTTTAACCCCATCACAACAACAAAAATAAGATGAGGAGCTTCATACTTTGTAGTATTTACTGAATGTAAGTTTGGTGATTGCATGAAGTAGGATGAGATGGGGTGGGGCAGATTGCATGAAAAATATGTTCAGGTCTGTTTCTGATCATTTGTCTTAATTTAACTTTAGTTTTAGTTATAAAATTTGCATATATGCATGATTTATACAGGAAATTAATTTTGCAGTAAAATAAGAAGGCAACAACAGTGGTTTGTTAATTCAGATCAATATATGTTGAAAATATGTTAATTCTTGAACTTCCTGTTAATGTTTCAGATTGATGTGTACATGTCAGTTGTCCACCCTATAATTAGTGAAGTCCTTGATGGGTATAACTGCACAGTTTTTGCTTATGGCCAGACTGGTACAGGAAAAACATTTACAATGGAAGGAGAGAAGTCAAATGATGCATCTATTACGTGGGACACTGTAAGTATGATTAAATTTATCCTTCTGTTAACCTACATTTATTTTTTAAGGAAACAAAGGTTAGTACCATTCAGTTTGTGTGTGTGTTCCTTCAAGTGTAGAACCATTTGTTCAGTTTTGACAAAACTGGATGCCACCCCAAATTTTTAATTTTTTCAGTTGCGATCAGACACACATCTTGTAATGTGGTGATACTAGTGTGACTTAATGTAGGTTGCAAAATGAAATATAGCAATTCTTAGAAATGAAGAACAAAATCATCAGAGTTTGATGATGAAGAATAGAAATGTGATTTTCCATTTTTAGTGATACCATGCAACATATGAAAGTCTTAAAAATAGAAAATTCAAGGCAGGTAAAAACACAATGGCAATAATTTCTCACTTTTGTTTATATACTGTATTATTATGACTTATTTCATATCCTAGTCTCATCTGAATAACTTATGGATCTGTGGAAATATTTCAGTTAATACTTTCGTTCTTCTGCATTCAGTGTCAATGTTGGCAGGGCTCCTGAAAAGTTTCAAATGGAACTGACCTTCATTGCAACAATGACTTGAAAAATAAATGTAATTATGTTGTTGGTATAACTGAAGTCTATAAAATTGTTCTCAAATATAGGATTCATTTTGTCCTCGCTGAGCCGTAATATGAAAGAGATATTCTGTGAGACATTTTAATTGTGGGATATTACAAAATGTTTGATTGGAAACAAAAATGTGTCCTAGAATTATGTAAGTGATATTAGGTTTATATGTTATTGATGTACTTAGACAAGGGACAATGTGCTGCATTCTCAATTATCATTTAAATAATTTTTAATGTGGATTAAGTATCTCTGAAAATGTTTTATGCTCATAATTGCCTCACTCCACTACTTGTTTTGAATTGTCCTGTTCATACTCTGTATGTGTGTAGTGTTTTTGTATATACATGTATATGTATAAAAATATGTTGCCTCTTCCATAGGACCCTCTATCAGGAATTATTCCGCGCACTCTAAGTAATCTTTTTGATGAATTAAGAATTCAGCAGGTTGAATTTACAGTCCGAGTGTCGTTTCTAGAGCTTTACAATGAAGAACTTCTTGATTTACTGTCACCTACAGATGATTCTTCAAAAATCAGGTATGACGATGCTTCAGGAGTAATATGTATATATTATGATTACATGGCATTATACTTTCAGAATTTAGTTCTCTCCAAAACCTTATTGTACATTTTACTGTACCTATTTTTGTGCCTGGTAACATTATTGTGTGAAAGTCTGTAGAAGGATTTGGGTAAATTAATTATACTATATTAACCAGAAGGAAAATAACCTCTTCTTTCCTAAAAAAACTTGATCTTTCCTGCAAATGTAGAGTGAGGATGTTTGAGAATAGGTTGCGATGGCAACTATTTGGACCAGAAGGGGACATAGTGACAGGAGGCTGGTGAATGTTCCAAAATGAGGAGCTTTATAATTTATACTCTGCCATGTATTATTACAATGTGCAGTCGAAGAAGGATGAAATGTGTGTTTTGTGTAGCACAATTCAGGGTGACAAGAAATTAATACAAATTTATAGTATGCAAACCTACAGGAAGCAACGCTTGGAAGATTTGTGTTAAGATGAAGTTAATTTGTCAGAGAGGCTTAGACACTTCCTGTGTTGATGTAAGTTGATTTAGTGTACCTTTCCCTTTTACTTGAATAAGATCACAAAAGATTGCATTGCTAACAAATAGAGATTGTTCAAAGGTTCATTTAGATCAGATGACTTTGAATAATATTTCTCCTCTTGTATGTTCCCACCCTTGTATTTATTATGCATTTTGTTTAGTCTACACTGTATGGGGGCAGCTTACAACTTCCCTGCTTTGTGTTACCTTTGTTTAAGTTTGTAGCTGATCTCTACACATTCAGTAGACCCTATTGTCTTTGTGTATATTTATGTGATCCACCAAGGTTCAGTAATGGGAGTGAAAAAAATTATGAGCATTAACAGAAGAGGAAACTGAATGAGAGTGTTTTTGATACTGACCTGAATTAAATTCATCATAATCATCTGAAGGCAACTAAGAAGACATTTAAGAATGTTTAGATGACTCAAGTCAGCCAGGACTTTGTGAAAGGAGAGGTTATTTTTATGGAAGCAGGGTTCTTGTTCTCAGCATCAGAGATATGCGACTGGTTGTTATGGTGTCAATTTTTTATACAGCAGAAACTGCAGACACGTGCACAAAAGAATAGCACATTAAAGGTGAAGGCAGAGTATATCACTGAATAGAGTAGAATAAAATTTATTTGCATTCCATAAATCCCTCATTGTAGTACTTGAATATGGCTTGAAAGTGCACCTTGTGTACCCATCACATTCCTTGATGATGAAGACAGTCTGAAATGCTGGTCTTCTCTTTTGAGTTGATGCAGCTGGTCACCTTAGAGGATTTTATCACAAGATTGGTTTTGTTGTTTAATATATTTACAAACTCTCTTTTCACTGTTATTGAATAAGTAATAGTTAATCATGTAAGGACATGTTACAGGTATAACTAATGTCAATACTTTGAATACTTACATGCACAGTTTGCAGTTACTTTTAATACTTATTGTTTCTTGTTAAACTACAGACTTTTTGAAGATGCAACAAAAAAGGGTTCAGTTATCATTCATGGTTTGGAAGAAGTAACAGTCCATAATAAGAATGAGGTTTATGCAATACTGGAGAAGGGTTCTCTCAAAAGACAGACGGCAGCTACTTTGATGAACGCTCAGTCCAGGTAAGCACATTATACATGGTGCTACACCAAACTAGAAGAGTTATGAAAGCAGTTTAAGTACTTTTAGTGACATAAATTGAAGTATGAGGGTTGATCCTAATTTGTAATAAGTAGTGACAGAAAGTTTAATTCATTGAAGCTGAAGCATGTCTAAATAACATTTATGAATTCAGTCTGTTCTGCAGAGGAGACAACACTTCACCATTACAAACATCAACTGATTTATGCTGTTTAAGGAAATAATCCCTTTTTACACTGAGAATCATATGAAACCCATATGTATAAAATGAAGAGTTATTGATTGTGTAAGCAGATGGGACTTGGCTTTAAAGGATTAATAAAAAATTAAATACTGAAGCAACTAAAACAGACATGGTGATAGAAGTGTTTTGCAAAAGCTAGCTGCAACATATAGTTTTATTTCCTGATAATACTGAATTATGCAGAGATTACGTGAAGATTGGTTGTAAAGTTTGTTTGCCTACTGAATTGTTTTATTTTGACAGCCGCTCACATACAGTCTTTTCCATTACTGTACACATCAAAGAGAATTCATTGGAAGGTGATGAGCTCTTGAAAACAGGGAAATTAAACCTTGTTGATCTGGCAGGCAGTGAGAATATTGGTCGGTCAGGTGCCGTTGACAAGAGAGCTCGTGAGGCTGGGAACATTAATCAGTCATTGCTTACACTGGGACGTGTTATTACAGCTTTGGTGGAGAGAGCCCCTCATGTACCTTACAGGTATGTAGAGCATGGTCATTTACTCTTTCTGGTTGATAAACTTTTTGCATATTATACATGTTGAAATTTTAGGCTATATAAGGCCCCATGTCTGTAATAAAGACGTGCAAATAAGTAGAACAAAAAAGTTTTGTTGTATTACTGTGTGTCACTTGGCTGCTGTATCCAACAATAATGGATATTGCATTTTTATATTTCTGTTATTTGTTTGAAGGGAGTCAAAATTAACTCGGCTGCTACAAGATTCTTTGGGAGGCCGGACAAAGACCTCCATTATTGCAACAATATCACCTGCAGCATGTAATGTGGAGGAGACACTTAGTACTTTGGATTATGCATGCAGAGCAAAGAACATAACCAATCGTCCAGAAATTAACCAGAAGCTTACGAAGAAGGCTCTTATCAAGGTAGGACTAAAATACATTGTATATGAATCTATACTTTGGGAAGACAGCGTGTATTTGTGCTTGAGCATGTGTTTGTGTGTGTGTGTGTGTGTGTTTATTTACTGTGGAGGCTGACAGTTGTAAGCAATAAAATTGTCATAGTCATCAGCCATCATGTGTAGGGACTCCCTCTGCTCGAGTCAGTCCCATGTGCTTAAACTATCATAAGCTGTTTCCTGTGTTTCAAGGATGTATTTGTCGTGGACCTTAACAGGGCAATATAATGTCCAGATTACTAAACATTCTGATTTGCTGTTGAAGACTAGAGCATTAAAATTATTTGTTAGACAAAAAATTTGTGTGTCTAATCAGGTACTTTTATGTATCTGATATGCATTTGGTATTATCAGTATTTATGTGATGCTATTTCTAACATATGAAGTGCCTGATGTGTTCTTGGATTGTGAATTTCTGATTCACCTTTGCAGCACTTTTTCTTGCTGCAATACAGTACAGAATGAGAACATTGTGTAATCTTCAGACGGAACACTCCAGAAGACCAGCAGTTTTAGGTCTCTGGGATCCCTGGTTTGAATCGCAATCTGCACGTGGATGTTTAATTTTTTTTTTCTGCATGGGTAGAGTTTTTCAATGATCTTGTTCTGGAAGTCATACCCATTGATTGGTCCCTGCCTTTGCCAGCATGTGACACGGAAAGTCCCAGCTCAGGCAGAAAAATGTATCACTGTTGTCAGCTGTTAATTTGAATTTGAATCATGGAAGCATTGTTTTGCAAGCTTGTAGCAGTACGCGTACATTCCAGTATACTAGCAACAGAGAGAATTGTCGGGTGATTCACTGGTGAAACAGAACGATTGGCAATGCACCAGGCAAATACATGACAGTGAGCCAATACTCTTTAAAGCCTTTGACCGCTGATTTGAGAGAATGTAGCATATTAACAGCATACGAAACCAGTTCTAGCTGTTTTATGAAGGTAGTCACCGAATCAGTCCCTGTTTTTATCTCCCTGAGCTTTGGTAAGGAAAGCATCAGTTTCCCTGCACACATAAGGCACAGGGATACATTCCTCTTGCGTGTTTATGGCTGTTCATGTGTCTGCTTCAAAATTTACAGCATATAATTTCGTTACACATTATGCTCTATTTCCTGCGTGCCGTACTTTATGAAGAGTGCGTGTTTATCTGCTGAACAGATTCTAAGCTGTTTGCACTACTGCCTTGGGAGATATGAAGTGTTTGCCTTAATAACCCACCAAGTTTACCATGCAATGTCTTATGCTTTCCCAGGATCCCCTTCTTTTGTCCTATGTGCCAAAAGCTAACCATTTTGTATGTACAGAGTGTTTATGAAATTTCCTTCTGTCAATGTGGCATACTCATAAACCAGGGGTTGATAACTTTTTCATTACCATGATCTGCACTGGCTATTATGTAAAAGTTGAGTGCCGCAAAAGAGAAAATGATAGTAATAATGTAGTGGGCAGAGGGCAGAACTGTATTTCTTTAACTTGAAGAGTGCAGCTGGTATTACCTGATTTTTTTAAAAAAATTTTTTTGGTGAACATGATTATGGATCTTCCTACTCTCATATTTATTTTTCATTGCTTAGATAGTTCAGAGAGTGAATCCAAGTCCGTGGCCCTGTGTAACATTTCGTAACATGCAGCTTTTTCACAGTGGTGAGATTTTAGCCCCCATTCAGGTCCCAAGCTATGGAGTCACCCCTTGTCGGCTGTCCGCGACGTATTGTTAAACCTACAGCAGCTACCCGCTGTAACTGGAGGCCTTACTTATTCGCAGCCTGAGGACGCGTATGGAGAAGGCCCTGACATTGTGTCTTTGTCTTCCAAGTTGTCATAATTAAAAGTCGAAGTTAAACATTTCGTAGGAAGAAACTAGCTAATAATGAACGACTCATTGATCTCTTTATGATATAGGCCTACAGCAAGCGTTATGAACCACGGGTTAAAGCGAGACGGCTGTGCATTTTAGTATCTTGGTCATACTAAACTGTGAAATGTCTGGTAACTGTGTACCACCTGCTCCAACATTCAGTAACTGTTCTGTTTTTACGGGTTTCTTATGATTCTCAGAGAAAACAGCGATTATTTCCTTAACAGCATTAACCAATTGATCTTTGTTATGGTGATGTTTTCTTTGAGGTGAGGACGGAATTCAAAAGCATTGTTTACATGAGCTTTGTCTTCGGAGGATTAAACTGATTTTGTGCCGTGTGGACTCGCAAGTTGTTCGTGTGGGCGGGTGCAGGTTCTCGTGGCTAGGTCCAGTTGCCGAGAGTGGTGCTCCGGAACGGAATGCTGTGACCAGCTCGTTGACGACAGTGGTTGTACGCGTTGTGGCCTCCCGATGGAGTCGTGCCAGGATGGGATGATAGACAGTCGTGTTCGTGAATTTGCGAAGCTATCAACAGGTGGTGTTAAGAAGTAAACGCGCTAGTTCTTGCAGTTTTCTTTTATCTACCACAAATTTTGGGTGAAGGTGACTTCAATTTTGTGGTTTTGTCAGTTTGCTTTGAAAAAAAAATAGGAGTGTCTCGCACTCATTCGGAAAATTCCGCGACGTAGCTAGGCTGTGGAGTGATGGCTCCACGCGTTCTTATTTATTCTTTTATTTCTTCCAGCGGTCGTATTATTTAGTACTGACAGTTTTGTAACAGTTGTGATAATTTAATAAAACTATTCTGTCATACCATTGAAGGCACGCATTTGAAATCGTACATTATATTTCGCCGAAAAATTTGCGAAAAATTACTTTCAGACTTTCGACATTAATTCTGGTTAAGAAGGGTCTACGATCGCAGGACATTGGAAACCAGGAATTACTGTTGTCAAACAAGAAGTGTGTACAGGAATTCTTGTCTTTGCTTCCGGAATTACTCGTATGAAACGTTGAGAAACAGCTGATTAAGCCAGAACGTTGGTTTTAGTGTGCGGTGCTGGAACTATGGAGGCAGTGCTAGTATGGGCCCTGCGTACTGGATACTCAGCACGGTACTCGTCTTCATGTCGGTCCTCGTTCTCGCCCTCAACTACTTTGCACACAAGGTACTCGGAAGTTAATAAGTTTGCGTTTCACAAATATTATGAATCGATGATCGTGCTTACAGAGTCCTAATGTTTGCAGTATTTGTAACTGGTGTTATTGCACATAAAATTAAACTTGTTATTGGCTGATGGTAAGATTATCGCAAAAGGTTTGTGATGTCAGTGTTATATGTGGATAAATGTTTGATGAAGGAAATTGAATTGATATACTTGTCAGGACCTTTTGGAATGCATGGTTGTTTAGTGAGAAATTTGATGAAGTTGCAGTTTGGATTATGAATCTACCATATTTTGTTTTAACATAGTGGTGGAATGTTTATTACTTTCTGTTACGTGCTAATATATGTTTGTGAAATTGATTGATGTTCTGTAAGGTGAGAAGAAGTTGGGTATTAGTCCAGTTACTTGCATTTTATATACAGTACGTTCACTGATAAAGTTGACCGTGTAGCGTTTGGCGGTGAGCAGGTAGTTCAGAAGTGACAGTTGCGTTAAACTTTATCATTGGACGCACTGTACTTGATGTCGGCCTTACTTTTCTGGCGCGTAGATATCCACTCTTTTTAATTGTTGAATGAGAAGCCAACATAATTAGCTACCGAATAGTGTAGGCTTTCTTTAGACTTGGCGTAGGTCCACCATACCGAGTTTGATCGAAATCCTTCTACTTGCAAGCTTCGTGCGGTTTGGTCCTGGCTACTGCAACTTCGCCTTCGTGATTTTGTTTTTATTCTAAGCGCGGCTAAAAATTGTCACGAGGGGGAGGTCTTGTGTGCCGAGATGACAAAACTCCGAATTTCACTAGAGTCGGACGTTTAACTCGGCCGGTCTCGAAGGAGGACGCATGTCTAAGGTTGTGTACAAGTAACCACTGGCCACGTCTTTGATGCCTATTTTCTGCTTGGTATGGGATTTGCATTTATTGTTACATAACACTGTTTTATTGAGTGAGTCGCTGCCATCAGTTGAGGAATGAGCCCTGAATTAGATTACGCTTCGTGTACTACAACTGCATAGCGAATGTGATTTATTGAGATGAACAGTGCACATGTTGTAATGTCAGCCAGACAAAAGAAAACAAGTAGCTGAGAACATGCGCTGTTTTCCTGTCTGGCAGGATTTGTAGACTTCTCTGTTGCACTGTTTATTCATTGCTGCTTTTAATAACCGCTGGAATTGTGAAAGGAACCCAAAATCTAGTAGGCGTGATTGGTATCAATCGTTGTTTTGCTAAAATAGTCGAGTTAATTAATATCTTGAATAAATATACGTCAGACTTTTTCCTTAACAATTTAAAGTTGAAGCCCGTCTGAATACTGTTTAGGAATTCTGTCTGTACCGCAAAGAAAACGTAAATTTTCTCCACTTCAGATCAACTGTGAGAATCGTACGAAACCTATAAATAAAAAATGAAGTTATTTATTGTATGTTGAAACAGGTGGAACATATAGTTTTAATGGAGCAAGAATATTTTTCTAAAACTGCAACTTACTCTGCGTGTAATGTTTTGTTTTAAAGTACGATGAACTCAGACCATCACGTCGGAATTAGCGCTGTTTCTCTCGCGTTTAAGAGTCCCATATTAGTCATTCTGAAGTGGCTGTCGTATTAATTTACGCTGCTCCAATTAACACTTGTGCAGTGCGTCTGTAGCGAACTGTCATATGTTGGCACGCTACCCCATACATAATGTAAGAAACAAACAAATGAATTAATCGGGGCTGAGACTTACGTAAGTGAAATACAAGTTCTCGTATTTAATTAAAGTGAAAGTTGTAGAAAACTAGTTTGAGACATTTCTCTGCCCTTCGCATGTGCTGCCGGTTGTTGAATGGAAAAACTTGAACTTACTGTCATTGAGGAAGACGAAGCCATGTGGCGTGTAATGATGTTTGTATCAGTTCTTGCGCCATATAACCTGCAGGTGCTTTGA